TCATTTTTAAATATAATGGGAATAATGTCTTGACTGCCAATACTTCTATTTTTGGTAGAATGTTTTGGAGATATATGTATCATCTTACCTGAAAAAAGAAAAGATTTTCAATAGGAGGCTACCAAATTCCCTTGCCAGAATGTCTGTCTAATATCCGAGCAGTGATATTTCCAGAAAATGCTTCAAAACATTTGTATATCTTTGCCGTCCCAAAGGAACTGTTGGTTTTGTTGCAACTATGGAAAGAAACGGTTCTAGTTTAGACATTCTTACCAGAAAACCAGTATTTTATAAGTACTGATATATGAATATGAGGTAGTACCCATATAATCTTGACCTGGCTCTTTATTTTTTAGAGTCTACCCAGTTACAGGATTCAGTAGTTTTAATCCTAAATATTAGTTCTGTGAAAGGGGTATTAAGCTTGAAAAGGTACAGGGTGAGCGAAAGAGAGGAAGACCCTTAAGTGATGGATTGACGTGGTGACTGCAGAAGTGGATGTAAGCGTGTCAGACACGGTGAGGACGACACAGGCGAGGCCAGGGCTCAGATCTGTTGTTTATCGAGTCATTGTGAGATGTACTCAGCTCTGCTGACAAAAACTGTAGCTAAATAGTTACCATTTGGGAGCTTAATAACCTGCCTTTTTAGACTCTAACTGCAAAAAGCATCATATTCCTTTTTTTATTTTAGAGAGAGGAAGTATAATTTTAAAAGAGAAAATTATTTTGGCCAGTTTTCACATAGAATTTTACAGCTTATTACATAAATTGGGCCAGTTGAGAGTAAGATATTCTTTTATTCTTGACTATTAGGTAGCTTTTCAGTAATATTTTTTGTAAAGTCTCACTAAGGAATTTTTGTGTTAATTTTCTCAGTTGTCATTGTTCATTTCCTTCCATTTTTTCCTGATCCTGGTTTGCCATGGCTATCTAACTTCCATTGTCTTACCAGTTTCTGGTACCTATATGCAGCCCATGCGCCCAGTTTTTTTCTGTTCCCATAAAGACTACAACCATGTGAGGCCACTGTGAGTTGAAATTGAGTCAGTGACCCCTAACAGCAACACTGTATAGTTGCCTACTCTATAATTATTTTAAAACATACTTTATTGAAATAAAATGTTTAAAAGTAAAATCAAACACCTATTTTTTTACTATCAGACACTCTAAACATTTATCATCTCCTTTTCTAATTACCATGTTTGGAGTAAATTGAAGGACAATTGAAAAAAAATCTTTGCATTCACAGCTAGAAACTTAAGAAACTGAAGAATTGATTAATTTCTCAAGTGATAAGTATTAATCTCAGAGAAGCTTTCAAGACTATAGGATTAGCTACCTTTTTTTGGAACAGGCTACTTGTAACTTTAAAGTACAGAAAAAGATGAGTTGATGGGGGTTAATATTTTCCTGAACTCCTCCTCTTTTCCATCACAATGCCATTTCCATTCCAGGATCATTTATGCATTAGAGTTATGATTTTAGAGTTGGTTGTGAGTTAACCACATACAAAGCCTCTTTGCACAGTGTCTCTGCTATGGATTCTGCCTTTTCAATGCCAGTTAGGCAATTCTCTGAGTATAATAGTTCAAAACAATCAACAGAAGCAAAGAATGGGTAACATGACACCGTAAGAAATGTGGCAATTAACAAAATAATGATTATAAGTCAAGCCTGTGTTAAGATTATTGATGAGTGATAAATCTCATCACCTAAGTTTCCCTACTTGTATTATTTTTAGCGTCTTTAACTTATTCAGTGCTAAATTAAGCAACTGTCACTTACTAGCTTGAAAATGTAACAGTAGAGAAGAATTAGTGTCTATTAACTGTCGCCTATACCAGATGCCATGTGTGCGTTTGACCCACCACCTTGCTAAAACCTTATACATACATCACCAATGAGGTAGAAACTAAAATTATTATTCTCCAGATATAGAGTAGCCACTCATAATTTAATAATTTACGCAGTATCACCCAATAAGTAAAAAAAGTTATGTTTAAACCAAGCAATGTTTCCTGAAATTACCCAGTTCTGGCAAGAAATTAGAACTACATGTAGCCATCAAAACAGAATAAAAACTTTCCGTGCTTATATTTTTGCATGAATCTTGGCAGCCCAATTTATTTAGTTAATGTGGAAGTAAAATTTCTAGATGATTCAGTGTAGTGGTTTCCAGACATAAGTCTGTACACAATTCTAGATAACTATTGGCATTTTTGCAACATAGTATTGTAGTGGTTTTAGAATGCGAAATACAGTAAACATCTACAACTCTCCAGTTGAATCTTACAAAATTCTTTTTGTTTTGTGTTTTCCCCCTCTTTAGTTTTATTGTGGAGAACCTCATTATGGTTTTAAGTTGCCGCCATGTGAATAAAATCAGCATTAGGTTCGTGCAACTCAGAACTCAGTGTGCTGTTCTATTGTGGTTGTTATTCTGTTGTCCTGAGGAGAATCGGAGTAGAATAATCACTCTTTAAGCATTTAGTGAGAATTACTTCATTCATTCATTCTGAGAATGCTCATTGGTTGGAAGCTTTGGACCAGACAGTAGTTTTGGTTGTGGGAACTGAGAGATGGAACGTGCTGGTTATTTCCTGGTGTTGTATTTACCTTAACTCTGCAAAGGAAGATTTATTGCTGGTAGCTGTCGTCTGCGATTGAGGCGGTCCTGTAACAAAATATGTTGAAGAGATTCTCGACCTTTTTGTTTCTCAAACCATAGTTATTCAGTACTACAGACAGCATAAAGCAACTTCTACACTTCTTCAGAAGCTAAATTCATCTAGCATTGTTTCTCCACACACGTTAATGAACTATGCCTATGATTTTGCAGAGTTGTGTTTTTCAGTGTTTTCCACTGCACTGGATTTACCTGGAATGCTTGTGAAAATACAAGACACTGAAGCTTTCCAGACTTATTGTCACTGACTGTCTTGTTGGGGTGGGAGGAACAGAGTTGGTAGGCTGCATACTTGAGAGAGTGAGAGAGAGAGGAAGAAAGTAAGAAAGAAGGAGGAAGGGAGGGGGAGAGAGAGAGGGAGGGAGAAAGAGAGAGAGAGAGACAAAGTATCCCTTGTTAGTGCTAAAGAACACAGAGAAAAGTATCCCTTGTTAGTATTAAGGAACACAGAGCTTTTGAAAACGAATCCCCACAACAATGAAATCAAACCAGGCAGAAATGTAACATAAATAAGACATGCATCAGAATGCACTTTTCAAGAGTAGATGTGGGAAATCCAACATATACATTACAGACACTGATACAAAATCTTGTACATAAACACAAGTGATGCTTCTTTTTCATTATTTAACTAAATCAGTGGCTGTGTCCAGAGGCAGGCAGTGCTGGGCAGTGTATGATCCAGGGAGGCTGCTGGGTGAAGTGCTTAAGCAACCCAGTGTTAGTGTTGGCAAGGGCAGGGTGGAGGCAGAAGGCTGTTTCTGATATTTATAGAACTGTAGACACTAACCTGAGTGGATTAGCGGTAACTGAATCCTCCTGTTGAATACAGCCTCATTTACTAGGACCAGTTGGTGTCCAGTCAAAGCTGACTCTTGGCGACCCCAAGTGTGCGAGAGTATAATCGTACTCCATAGTGTTTTCATGGTTTAGGTTTTTTTTGCCCCCCCCCCTTTTTTTTTTCCCAAGTAGGTTTTTTTCTTTTTAGCAGCTACTGAATGAACTCTAACCTCCAATATTTTAGTTAGTTGCAGAATGTGGCTACCATTTGAGCTACTCCTCATATCATAACTTCACTTCCCAGTGTTTAAAGTCACTTGGTTCCAGTATGAAATATGGTGTGAAGATAACTTCTAGGTACAGAGTTTTGTTGTAGAGACTAGTTACTTTTTGAATTGAAAGAACATACTTTGCCTAAGAGATCTCAGCTCAGACAGGTCATTCATATTTGAACCCTGTGAGAGTTTGTTATGACAAACAAAGCATTAAGTGGCAGTTTTCTGAATCAATTTATAGTTTTAGTTCACATGAAGCAAACTTTTCTGAGAAAAATCAAAGAAATCTCAATAAGATGGTTGATGACTTCAATTGTATATTTCTTTCACTGTTACATACCATTCTAAGTGGATGCATTGCTGAAAGAACTTGCCAGGGTGCTAATGGAAGAGATCTATTACTACCAACATGAGTTGGGAATATATTAACATAGCATTGGTACAGTTCCTCATACTATACTTGTAAATGCTTTGAAAGTTAATGAACTCAAAAGGAAGACCTGTTGTATTTCTCTCTTTATGGTAATAATGTACTTTGTGTCTTCACTATTAACACTGTAAATTTTTTAGGGAATATATATATATATATAATTTGTTGGGAGGTGGAAACCAGAAATCCTTTTGAAAGTTAAAAGTTGAAGAATACCTTTTTCACCAAAGCTTCTTTATATTGAGTAATCTCTATATACTTTGTTAGTGTGGAATATATTTATTTTTTAAGTGGTATATTTCCTAGTACATAGACCTATAGAGCACATTTGTCATCTTACTTTAGTTGCTCTGAGGTAGTGGTTAAATGTGTTCCACTGGGATACAAAATTCCTGGCATCCTCTGAGTTTATTTTCTAAGAACTCAATACAAATAAAAAAGATGGTAAAACTTCACAACTTTTTTTCGATTGTAAAAATTAGCCATGAGAATATTATGATAGTGATTATAATGTGTGTGTTTTTTTTTTTAATTTAATACTCAGGGATTGAAATAACTTTGGAAATTTGTGGCTTTCTGAAACTTAATCTAAAAATATGAATGTAAAGATTGGTAAAAGGAATTAACTTCTTCAAGCTTCGAAATGTTTATAGAATGGCTTATTTTAATGAATTTGGGTGAAGTCATTGTTTATTCTAAAGTTCTGGTCAAACGTTGTGAACAGTACATAGTAGTAGACGTGCATTATTGCTGTTATTTTATATTTTTTTGAAATGTGTTAATTTTATTATTTTTAAAATGGTATTTGCTTTTTGTGTGTGTTTCAGGGTCGTTGCTCCAGGGAGAATTGCAAATATCTTCATCCACCCCCACACTTAAAAACACAATTAGAAATAAATGGACGCAATAACTTGATTCAGCAGAAGAATATGGCCATGTTGGCCCAGCAAATGCAACTAGCCAATGCCATGATGCCGGGTGCCCCGTTACAACCTGTGGTAAGCACATGCTCAACTCTTCTTATTAAGGCTGCATTCTTCACGCCCTTCACATGTTGAAGTGGTGATTGTCCTTGATCATGTGGACCCAGCAGTGGTTACCAAGCCTTTTCCAACAAAATTATTAGTCCAAGTCAGGAACAATTTTAAGATAATTTTTTAAAAAATTTTATTATTTTTATGTGTGTACCATCAAATTGGATCTGACTGGTACAGGAGGAGATTAAGAATTTTAAGGCCGTGATAGTCATAATCTGGCTAACTCGTGGAAATTTACACTGTAACACTACCGCTGACATTCTTATCTGCTTAAATTGAACGACTTGCAAATGTGAAAATTGCCTTTGTTCAAATGATCATCAGATTTATTCATATAGCTAATGTGCATTTTCAGGTTACCTTTGAAAGGTAATACTGATTTTTTTTTTTTTTTTTTTGGTAAGTGATTATTGTCTTTAGTTTTGAGAAAATACTCCTTTTTCTCATCCTGGAAGAGAATCTTCTTTTTTTATATTTCTCTTTCTTGGAAAAGAACCTTAGTTATTCTTGAAAAACTTAAAAATTCTCTTATTCACAATACTAGGAAAATTTTGACAGTATTGAATCGGTATTATCGTGAGCTCTCACGTATCACCAAAGGAGAATAGAATATGCTGAAAATGTAATGGCTTTTAAAATCAAGACCTACATTTGATCAGTTACTGGTGGTTATAGATACTTCCTGTGTAGTGAGCACTAATATAGGAGTATGTCTTGATTCTGAGTTGTTTGTGTTTTGAGTTCTTTGATTCTGAGTTATTTTGGGTGTCTGTGAATATACAATTACTAATATTTAACCAAGTTTACAAAGATGTAAGGGGTTATTATCATAATTACTGCTAGATGGTAAAAGCCTTTTTGATGTTTGTTGTGCTATAACAATGCCATATTTAAATGTATGTTGAAATTTCCAAGGATTAGAATATTTACCATTGATTTTTATCACCCCTATCTATACAAAACTATAAGGCCACAGAAATACAGATCCACATTTTTCTGCATCTGTGTACTGTTTAGTATTTTTCTCTTAATATGTGAACACTTGAGTTCAGTGGAATTATTATTCTTTCTTAGAACTTAATGCAGCAGTAATTCCAAAAAGGAAGGGGCGAGGCGGGGACTGAGTTTCAAGGTGGGAGGGATCTCCATGTTACATTGGCAGTGATAATACCAATTATTAGTACCATGCAGTTGAGAGACTATTACTATTGATTCTATGATTGTTTTAAACTTTCCCCCTTGACTAGAGATGCTGGTAAAAATAATGACTTTTAAAATTTACTGTAACATATACTAATTCCACACATCTATTGTTTAGATAGAATGATATTTTCATTCTTAAAAAAAAAAATTAAGCATTTAGTTATAGTCTTTCTCCCTGAAAGAAGAGAGAGAAGAGGAGGTTTGTTTTACCACTTGACCTTCACACACAGCTTCAAAGATCTGGTAAACCTCTGGCCTGCTACTACCTTAGTTGGTTTAAGATCTATCCTTGATGCGAGCTACTTTGTTCGGCTTAAATGTTTCAAGCAGGCATCCTTCCAGGCTGCTCTGCCATCTCTGTTACTGAGATTACCTCTGATACTACCACGTGTAGTGCTTGGGCAGGGAGGCAGCTCTGGTCATGGCAGGGAGTAGAAGCTGAAGTCTTTCCCAAGCTAGTCCTTGAGCCTTAATCCCAAAGGTGTTTCAGGGTCCTTGTATGCACAATCTTGGGACGAACTGTCCACAACACTTAGCTCACAGCTTTTTTTTCCTTATTATTAATTTTAATTAAAGTTTATAGAGACTTGGGATTTCCAGCTATTCATTGTTGCACTTTTCTCCCTACACATCCCCTCCCCCCAATTCACTCTTCTCCTTGAAAACAAAAAGAAAAACGCTTTCATTGTTATGCAGTCCCTTCCCCCCAAGTCTACTCTACTATGCAGCCTTCACTCTGGACTTCTGTAATGGCAAGAATACCCAATCATATATCCCTTTTAAACAGTTCTCTCCCTCATCTGTTTTATTGCAGTATACATCATTCCTCCCCTCCTTCTCTGCCTTCCTTTAACCTTGATGTCAGCCCCGTTTTACAACAGTAGCCCTATGCAATATTTGTCCTTTTGTGATGGAGATATTTCATTCAGCATAATGTCCTCCAGGGTCACCCACTTTGAATAATATTGCATGAGTTCCTTGTTTTTTCAATGCAGCATAATATCCCATTGTGTGAATATACCACAGCTTCTCTAGCCATTCGTTTGTTGATGGGCACTTGGGTTGTTTCCAGCTCTTTGCTATTGTGAACAAAGCTGCAATAAACATGGATGTGCAGGTCACATCTTTTAAATACCCCTAACCAGTATCTGGTGTTGATGAAATGAAGCTACTAGAAAACTCACCCTGATGTTTCTGTTGGAGAACTGTGTGCTTAGAGCAGACATTTGCTTTTACTAGTTATAAGCATATTTGAACTTTATTTGGCTGAATGTAGAATTGCCCTTCTGCTCAAGGTACCCTAAGATCATAACCTAAAAATCTTCTTTGGTAAATTATTTGGTAAGACACTGTGTGGTTAAGTACAGAAATAATTTTAAAACTTCCATTTTAAAAAAATTGGGATTTTAATGACGGTCGAGCTGGATTTAATCCAGAAGATTTTACTTTAAAATCCCCACCTGAGACTTCTTGATCTTTTTTTGTACTAATCCCTGCTTTGAAGAGGATAATGACATGAGATTCAGTAATAAATAGGATGGTTAAAGCCAGCTGCTACTGGAACCTGCACAAAGGGATTATAACAGAGGAGAGCGGCCAGGTGACTGACAAACAGAGGAAAGGGTCATTATGGGAAGAGAATGCACACTAGTACAGACAGTAGTGTCCAAAGGCACAGTGCAGTCGGACAGAATGCAGGCAGTGGCGGTTTCAAAGGAGGCACTACTACAAACACATCCAGTTTTGGGAGTTTCTTAACAGTGACAGAACTACCAGTGATTGAATAAACGATGACATCTTAGGACCAGAGGAGCTAATGGCACTGGCAAGGTCTAAGCAGGTTGACAAGGATCAGTTTGAAGACTAAAGTGTGCCAGTCTCAGGCCATCATTTTGGTATGCATTGGAAACTGGACAATGAGTACAGATGACAGAAGGAGAATTGATGCTTTAGGAGCTGTGGTGTTGGGAAGTATCCTGTTGATTACCAAAAACCAAGTAGATGTACCCTGGGGAAAGTACAGCCAGAACACCCCTTAGAGACAAGAAATGACAAAGCTTTGTCTCACATACTTTGGGCCTGTTGTTAGGAAACTTTGCCTTTCCTTGGAGAGGGAAATCATGCTTAGAGAGGTGGAGGGTCGGAGCCTTAATGAGATGGATCACACAGTGGCTACAGCGATGGGCTCAAGTGTGTCAGAAGTGCTGAGCTTGGTGCAGCACAGGACAGGGCTCAGGTCTTTGTTCATAGGATCGCTGTGCGTTGTGCTCTACTCAACGGCACGTAACAGCAACAGCAACATCGTGGCAAATATGTAGTAGAGTTTACGAAATGCTTTATGAGTAAAGAATATTTTGAAGTGAAAAAAGCACAGCTCATGACTGAAGGTAGTTTGCTTTTCCTGAGTCCAAAGGAGTCATCCTCAGAATCAGAGCAACTGTAATAGAGAAACTGAATAGAGAAAAAGACGTATTTGTAGGGAAGTTACTGTACCTCCCACATTGGGTTCTCCTTTGCCCATGAGTAACTTAGTCCATGTATTTAAGATACTCAAAACATGACACTGGACAGAATTAGGCAAAGTAGGGCTTCCTAGACTATTTTTCGGAGACTTTCCACCCTAATTAGGTTGTAATAAATCGTACCAAGCAAAAATCACAAAGAGGATTTAACACTTTAGGGACTGTTACAATGCTCTAGGATTATATAGTGTATTCCATTATTTTGTTGTTGTTGTTTTAGGCCCTCGTAACCTTCCTATGTAGTAGGCAATAGTATCCTAATTGCAGAAATGAAGATTTGAAGGCTCCGAGAGGTTAAATAATTTTCCCAGTTTGTCCAGCTTGCCATATTTTAACTCAGGCCTTTCAAATTCCAACATTCATTTTCTTGAAACAAACCACCAGCCAATCGTGGTATATCATTCATTTGGCATTCTGCATGCTTGGACTCAATAAGTTAGGGGTAGAAAAGTTTCAAATGATCTGGTTTTAGTGATAATCTCAAAAGTTTCTGCAATCAGCTTTTCTGTGTCCAGATATCCCCAGCATGTGTTGGCCTTTTGATGCCAAATGTTTTACAGCTATCATTTGGCACACTTTCAAGAGCACCTCTAATTCTTAAATTGTGTTTAATGTTTTAACTTCCAGTTCATCAGTATAAGCCAGTGTTTATATTAGGCCACCTCACCCTAGAGTATTTCTGGTAAAATGTTCCTGTGTCAGTCATGCTGAGGTGTATTTCATCATATTATAGGCTGGTTCCCTCTAGGAGTTTGCACTTCCCCAAGCAGCCTGCTAAGGGCTCCCAGATTTTAAACAATGTTATGTTTGCTTGCTATCTTTTTACTCTAAGGGGTAGAAGTTCAGCTTCTTTTTAAATTGTTTCTGATGGCAGTAAAATATGATTGGAGGATAAAGTGATGGATGCTACAGATAAAGCAAGTAGTCTGTTAATTTGTTTAATCGTCAGTCAGTTTAGAAGCAAAGAGGATAACAGGAGTTCTCAGTGCCTCAGACTAGTGCTTCTTGTTCCCCCCTTGCTGAGAATTTCCACCTCCAATAGTGGAGTATTATTTTTTTAAAGAAAATTTTTTCTTTTACTTGTCATTTTCACAAAAGTGTACAGAAAAGTTAGATTTTCTTTCATTCATTCATTGTTGCACATTTTACCCTTTCACCTTCCCTTTCCCCTCCCCAAGTTGACTTTTTAAAAAATTTTATAAATAAGTTAGTGTAATAGTATTTTTAATACACAAG